GCACTAACTCTGAACCATTTTTATTTACAGTTTGGTCAAGATTATTTCTCGGTGGAAGTTTTCTTGTGAGACTCGGGGAGTTTTGGCCAAATATATATTCATTGCCCTTTGGATCTATGTTATCGGGTTCAGATCCAGTTCTTGCATTAAAGTCTCCACACAGCAGCACATTTCCCTGGGCCTGGAAACGGCTGATCTCTGTGTGGATGTTGTTCAGGTATTCCTCATCATGGTAAGGGGATTCTGCTGGAGGAATATAGATGACACAGAGATATATGTCAGTAGTTGAAATGCCAATTTGGTTGTTTAGTTTTAACCAGCAGTGAAATTTTCCAAATGTAAGAATAGAAATGTGCTTGGCCAGAGTTTCTCTGTACCACACCAGAATTCCTCCCGAGTCTCGTCCACGATGCACTGTACTTAATTTAACTGAGGGCACAATTACTTCATAGTAGCCTGAGGGACAGTAGGTAAGCGCATCATTTCTACACCAGGTCTCGGTGAGAATGATAATATCAGCATCTTTGCTATTTTTCAGAAATTCTGGGTCTGTGCTTTTAGTACCAAAAGTTGAAGAATGAAGACCCTGGAGATTCCAACAACTTATATGAAAGGAACGCATTAGTATTATTAAATATAAACCTATTTTGTAAGACAGAGAGAAAATAACCTGTGAGAATGTGGAATACAAATAATGTACTATAATGTCACAAACAATCTCGCTCTTTTCAGTGCAGTTCAAATGAATGAGAACGGAAGGTTTTACGGTTTAAAAAGAGTGCAGTAGCAACACAAAAGTGTCATAAGTAGTCAGTATGACTGCACTACCATTCGAAAGTTTGGTGTCAGTAAGATTTTAAGATTAATACTCGGCAAGGACAAATCAAATTGAACAAAAGTGACAGACTTCTACATTCTGTTTGCTGTTGCTGTTACATTGCTGTTATTTTGAACTTTATATTGATCAAAAAATCCTAGAAAAAAATAACAAAAATATTAAGCAGCATAACTGTTTTGAAGATTGATAATAAGAAGAAATGATTCATGAGCACCAAATCAGCATATTAAAATTATTTCTGAAGGATCATGTGACACTGAAGACTAGAGTAATGCCAGCTGAAAATTCTGCTTTGCCATCACAGGGATAAATTATATTTAAAAATATATTAAAAAAGAAAACTGTTATTTGAAATTTACACTATTCAGTATTTCACAATATTGCCATTTTTACTGTACTTTTGGTAAAATAAATGCAGTCTTTGTGAGCATAAGACGCTTCTTTCAAAAACATTTTTAAATTGTTATATTTTTGCACAAAGCTATTGTATAGACGTATTTCTTTTATTGAAATATTTGCTTGCTTAGTGGGTAAAAATGCTCTCTCTTTTCTCTCTTTTTCCTCTAGGTCCTCACCATCACTGGCTGAAGGACTTTGTTTTGATGATTTCAATCATCATTGGTGTGGGAGGCTGCTGGTTTGCATACATACAGAACAAATCATCCAGAATTCACATCTCCCGGATGATGAAAGATCTGGAGAGTCTACAGAATGCTGAACAGAGCCTGATAGAGCTACAGAGCCGGTGAGAGAGAAAGCAAATAACAGACAGTGAGAGAGAGAATAAGAGCACGAAATATTCTATCATCTGTTTAACATCATATTTCATTTCTTGTTATGAGAGGGCTCATTAAGCTTTTCTATAAGTACCCTCAAGGGAAGAGTTCATCCTAAAAATAAAATTCTGTCATCATTTGCTCACCCTCATGTCGTTCCAGATCTGCATGACTTTCTTTGTGGAACACAGAAGGAGAGACTAGCTCCATTATGACAAAAAGCACCATAAAAGGTGTTCATGCAACTCTCACACAAATTTCTGAAGCTGTAACATAGCTGTATGTGAAGAACAGAATGGGTTTTGCTGTCTTCACCCACATCCATATGTCAGTACAATGAGACCCCTTGCCATTGACCATTACATGTCAAGTATGGCATTACATTCATAATGTGATATGACATGACACCTTTTTTTTGTCTTTTTTCTTGAGCTCGACAGCCTATAACCCTTTCACTTTATTATACGCATTATATAGAAAAGAGTGGACATGATACTGTTTGTTCTATTTTCCTCTTAAGTCATTTAGGTTTGGAACAACATGAGGGTGAACAAATTATGACAGAATATTATTATTACTATTTTAAATCGCAACACACCAGATTTCAGATGTGACTTAAATTTCTCTGTGGTTTCATCAGGCTGGAAAAAGCTCAGGAGGAGAACCGGACGGTGGCAGTGGAGAAGCAGAACCTGGAGCAGAAGATGCGTGACGAGATCAACGGAGCAAAGAGAGAAGCCAGCAGACTGCGAGAGCTGCGAGAGGGGGCTGAATGTGAACTCAGCAGACTCAAGTACGCAGAGGAGGAACTAGTGCAGGTAGGAACCAATATAAATCAAACAAAGCCTTCACAGATTTAGTCTTTAATGTGATGACCCTTACAAAGGCCCTGCCTCAGATTGCAACCTAAACGCATAGCGGCTGCAAAGGGGGCGCTCACGAGCTCCCTTCTGAAAGCTAAAATGATGAATGGGACTTAGCAGACACACACATGTGGAGGGCATTGTAAGTCCGCAAGACTGCAAGTGCATGTGAAGTCTGCCATTTGGGACAGGGCCAAAAAAGAAGTTCTGTTGTGTAAAGTGTGCTATTAGAAATAAGAGAGTATACTTTCAGTCTACTTGGCTTATACAGAAAAGTATGTTTCGCCTACACTTGTTCTTAATCTTTTAATCGAGATATACTTAAGAAACGAATAAAGTATTGAATATTCCAAATATGTTATGCTTCAAGTTCAAGTGTAAGCCTGCGCTGCAGTTATGTGCAGTTATCTAAACGCCCAAGCTCTTTAAAGCTGGATGGATCCTGATTGGCTGTCACTGTTTTTATTGTCCTTCAGCTGGAAAAAAAATCTTTGTAAAAGTGATTCCAGCACTATCATTCCTCTGTGCAGTTATGGTTATAGTTGAGGTTATACTTCTTTGGTGTGAATGGGCCTTAAATATGCATTGAAAAAAACGTATCCATAAGCCAGTAACACTGACAAACAAAATTCTACATCAAAATATTTTTATTCAATGTCTAATTTGTAAATTCATTAACAGTTTATTAAAAATCCATTAACAGATAAAACGAAAAAGTAAGGATAAACAAGAATACTACTAGTACATTGATATTAGTGTATCCTACATAATGTAATCTTGGAAAATATACTTGAACTTTTAAAAGAAAAAAAGTACACTTCAAGTATATTTTATGCTGCTTTTTGTAAGGCAAGCCAGACTTTTGACCACACAGTAAGCAGCCTAACATTTTCCTTACATGATGCATATATGAAGGGGGGTAAATCTGAAATTAATGCTACCACAATAACTGACCAATAATAGACTGATTTATGTAGCAAAGTATGAGCTATCAACATGATACAGTAATGTTAAATATATTTTCTCAAGCTATTAAAATGGCCTTGGGGTCTCTAAGACTCGAAACAGAACAGAAGGATTAATATAGTAAAATGTAATTAATTACTTTTTGTCCAAAACGTATTATTTCCTGAAGTTCATCATTGGATTTCTATTGCCTTTCATCACAACAGCCTTATTCTGTGAATACACCACTAGATGGATGCGGCGTTCCTCAAGTTGTGATGTTGTAATAAATTACTAGTTCCACAGTGTTTGTGTTTGTTGGGTATTTCCAGGTGCGAATGGCACTGAAGAGAGCAGAGAAAGAGATGCAGTCAGATTGGTCGGTGCCAGAAGCCCTGCAGATGTGGCTTCAGCTCACACATGAGGTGGAACTGCAGTACTACAACATTAAAAAACAGAATGCCGAGCTGCAGCTCACGGTCGCAAAGGACGAGGTGAGTGATTTATTGTTCACACTTCTTGTGGAAGTCGTGTACTTTGTGGAAGTCGTGGCCTAATGGTTAGAGAGTCGGACTCGTAACCCAAAGGTTGCGGGTTCGAGTCTCGTACCGGCAGGGATTGTAGGTGGGGGGAGTGAATGTACAGCGCTCTATCCTACCTTCAACTGAGGTGCCCTTTGGGGGCCCCTGGGCGAACGCCCCAACCCCCCAACTGCCCCCCAGGCCCCAAAGAAAAAAAAAAAAAAAAAAGGCTGCCCCCTGCTCTGGGTGCGTGTTCACGGTGTGTGTGTTCACCGCTGTGTGTGCACTTTGGATGGGTTAAATGCAGAGTACTAATTCCAAGTATGGGTCACCATACTTGGCCACATGTCACATCACTTTTTTTTTGTCAGGGCAAGAAATACTTGTTTGACCAACAGATTTTAAAGTTTCAGGCCAAATAGTTATTGGATCTTTGTGCCTATTAAATATTTACTTAACATCAGCTATTATACATTAAAAGTGAAGTTTAATTTTCAGTTTAAATCTACCTAAACAAACATCTCATTCACATTCTCTCTCAGTGACTAACAAAAATGAAGCTGAAACTTTCCCCTGTTCATTTAGATTTCTAATGATGTGGTTAAATTACTTTTTAACTACATGGTTTGTTTTGCCGTTTGTTATTTGCATCTAGAATGAGTCATCAGCAGTTAAGCTAAAACAATTAGCAGTCACTGCAGCAGGAGAGATGAGCTTGCGTTCAGTACAACCAGCAAATGTGCAGATCACACACATGAGTCAACTGGTGCATTTCCATGCAATGTCATTGTATTTTCATTACTTGTGTGTTTCTATGGTCATGTTGTGTGAATTTCAGGCAGAAAAGATCAAGAAGAAGAGGAACTCTGTGTTTGGTACCCTCCATGTTGCACACAGCTCATCGCTGGATGAAGTAGACCACAAAATACTTGAGGCTAAGTAAGCACACATAATGCACATGCACTCGCTAATGGTTACCCACATTAAATGAAAGCTTATTAGTGTTTTTTTTCTTTTTCTTTTTAGAAAAGCTCTATCAGAGGTCACAGCCTGTTTGCGTGAACGTCTTCACCGCTGGCAGCAAATAGAGAAGTTATGTGGCTTTCCAGTGGTTCATAACTCTGGGCTGCCCAGCCTCACCGCCTCCCTGTACGCCGACCACAGCTGGGTGGTCATGCCGCGGATGTCAGTGCCACCCTACCCAATCGCTGGCGGGGTGGACGATCTCGATGAGGACACACCACCAATCATTCCACAGTTCACCTGTAAGTTCCCCTCTTTAAGCCCAAGATTGTGTGAAATGTTCTAAAAATGCGACTTTAAATTACATAATTTTAACTAATTTATATCTTATTAATGTGCAAAAAGTTTTCTTTCTAAACCATTCAGATGCTTTTAAAAACAATGTAAGACATCGGTTCCATACCAGTTTCTGGTATGGAATGAAGATCTTTATTTAATCAAAAAAAATTTTTTTTTTAAAAGAATGAATGAATGAATGATTCGTTTTTTTTAAATATTGTTCATTAAAGCTTGTGATACCTAAATTTTACAACCCGTTAATCATGAGAACTGGTCCCTAAACTAAAGTCTTACCTACTTTTTTATGATAAGTATACCATGCTAAGGTGCATAAAGATCTGTCTTTTCTACACAGCTCCTTTGATTCGACCTCCTCTGACCCGCAACAGCAGTGTTTGTCGTTCCCGCAGAAGTCTTCTGTCTCAGCCCTCGTCCCTTTCTCCTGACCCTGACCTGTTGTCTATGGCCTCGGCCCCACTGGCCTACAGACCCGAGGGAGACGATGATCACATCTTCTTCACTGTCGAAAGGAAAGGGTACGTCAGCTTTTCTTTGTATATATTAATTAATTTATTTAAAATGCTGTACATGTTAATTTACCTATTTACCTTTATAAAATCACATTTATATATGAATCATTTCAATGAATGCACGGTTTCGGTCAAAAGTTCGGAATTTTTGAAACTCACTTATACTCACCAAGGTTTATCTATTCATCAAAATACAGTAATATTGTTAAATGCTATTGCAATTTAAAAGAACTGTTTTCTACTTTAATATTATTTTCTAATTTAATTTATTTCTGTGATGGCAAGACATTACTCCAGTCTTCAGTGTCACATGATCCTTCAGAAATCACTTTAATATGTTGATCTGGTGGAGTCGCATGACAGACACAGTGATGAAACTGGTATGTGCTTGCAGTACACAAGCCACGGTTAAGACAGCTGACTCCACTATGATATGACACCCCCCCCCCCCCCCCCCCCTTTCTCCCTCGGACTGGAAGCTGAGGAGCTGAAACGGGATGCCTCAAGGCTGAGTCGTAATCTTAAAGATTCCTAAATGCATCTACTTTCGGAAGGCCAAATAACATGCTTTTGCTTTCGCCTAGAAACACACAGCGTCTCCAACACAGCTGCTTCTACACTAACTGCGGTTACTGAAACCACGCCTTCTTTCTTTGCGTGCACATTTGGGCGGCATTACGCAAATATTTCCACATAGTGAGGTAGATATGTGGGGGCGTATTAGAACGAGCCGTTTTAGGGGGTGTGGCAGAGTCTTAACTTTGATAAAGAATATCTCTTTGGTTTTGAGACTTTAGTCTTTGCTACTTCAGGGATCTTATCTATGCACAATCAGCTTGTAACACTCCAAAGAGAAAGGAAACCTTGAAATCGCATCATATGACCCCTTTAAACCTTAAACTGATGCAAACTGCATCACAAGTATAAAATCTTATACTTATTCAGAGAAATAAGTATTCTCAGTGACAGCGACGTGTAGTGCAACATCTTACACAAACTTAGCTGTTAACGGACAAATTAATGTATGTATGAAAGTTCATTCTTTTTCCATCATGTTTGGACTTAATGTGTTCGTAACATTGCCAAAGGTATTCTAATTGTGGTTTGGTAAGTGAATAATGCATTGGTAAAGCTTAAGTGACACTTTTCTAAATTTGTGTTTGGACTATACAAATAAGTTCCACAGGAGGAAAGAAGGGTGGGCCACACCGTGTCCCCCGACTCTGATGGAAACAGCCAATCACAGCCTGGAAATGGAGAAGCACCAGATTGCAATCTCCTCCTCATCAGAAAGAGATAAAGGTACCTTCCCAAAAGACACTCACTGTTCTGAGTCTGAGCCCTGCATGGGTGAGATGATAGCAGATCCTGTCAGGGAAAAGACACTAATGGCGCTTTTCCACTGCATGGTACGGCACGGTACGGCTCGGTACGGTTCACTTTTGGGGGGGTTTTCCACTGGGTACAGTACCTGGTACCTGGTACTTTTTTTAGTACCACCTCGGTTGGGGTTCCAAGCGAACCGTACCGTTACCAAAACGTGACGTGTAAACTCTGCTGATCACGGATTGGCCGGAGAGAATCGTCTCTACCTGCGTCACTGAACTTGCGACACAAACACAAAAGAAGCGCTAGATTTAAATCAGCACAGCCAGCGAAGCATCGAACGCAACTGTTTTGAACGAGCGCACCTTTTTTTAACAACCAAAAAGTTTTGTTGTCTGTTGTGGAAGAACAGACGTTCCTCTCGTTGATAGCAGAGGAGCGATCCAGCGAGAGCTTGATGGGGGAACGCGGAATGAAAAAGTTGTTTTAGGAGTCATGGTAGTAGAGGCGCCGCAACTATAACGACATGTGAATAATCCCGCCCACTCTAAAGCGGTATTGAACTGCAGTGGAGACGCAAACCGTGCCGAGCCGAACCTTACCGTGCCGTACTGAGCTGAGCCAAGTCGTACCACGCAGTGGAAAAGCGCCATAACAGAGCAAATTCTGAGTCTGAGTACTGCAATGGAAAAGACGTTAACAGATGCACTGTTCTGAGTCTGAGTCCTGTCAGGGAAAAGACACTAACAGAGCAAGATCTGAGTCTCCGGCCTGCAAGGGTGAGACACTAACAGATACACCTCGGTACTGAGTCTGAGTCCCGAAAGGAAGAGGCAATAACAGAAACAACTGTTCTGAGTCTGAGCCCTGCAAGGGTGAGGCAATAGCAGATCAACCTTCGTTCTGAGTCTGAGTCCTGTCAAGGAAAGGAAAGGATAGGACTGCAGCAGATCACCAATGTTCTGAACCTCTGGCCCGTGAGGGAAGAGGCAATAACAGAAACAACTGTTCTGAGTCTGAGCCCTGCAAGGGTGAGGCAATAGCAGATCAACCTTCGTTCTGAGTCTGAGTCCTGTCAAGGAAAGGAAAGGATAGGACTGCAGCAGATCACCAATGTTCTGAACCTCTGGCCCGTGAGGGAAGAGGCAATAACAGATACCAAGTCCTGAGTCTTCAGCTTCGAGGCAGCAACAGATATGACCACGGTCTGAGCCTCCAGCCTGCGAGGAAAGAGATAATCTACGTTCAGACTTCATTCAGAGTATTCTCCAGTGAGACAACAACAGATGCAGCACGTCCTGAGTCTCCATTCTAGAGAGACAAAGCGGATCGACCAAGTTCTGAGTCTCTAGCCCAGAGAGGCAGAAGACACACAGAGATCTGCAACAAAGTTCAACTCCGGCGAGCAGACCTTCACTCCAAGGTACCTTTGCTTGAGTGTTCCAGGCTAAGGACCTTTTGCACCTACTCCAGGGCCACATCTGCATGTTCCAGATTTTAGGACCCTTTGGTGCTCCAGAAGATCAGCATCCTCCAGCGCTTCGTGTCCAAGGCTGTCAAGATTCCTGCTCCTTTCCCCACTGCATTGCTACCAGCACAACCAGTGGATGAAGTCACCGCCACTGGACTGCTCACTCAACTACAGAGAACGTAACTATCACTTATCCAAACCTCTTTCAGAGACCTTGGCATTGTTGTATATTACCAGTATATGATTTTCTAACTTACATTAGATATTATATAGCTGATTGCAGTTGATAACAAATAATCTTTCCCGTATTTGTTTGATGCATAATAAGGTTCTTCACCTTATTTCTTTCAGAGTAGCAACAGTTTATCTTTCCAGATAATCTTTCCAGCTCTAACATAGCAACACCCAACATAATCACTTGCATTTTATGCATCTTATGCACTTTATTCCTATTCCATTTATGGTATTCATTTAGTAGTTGTTGATTACTCTTGTCTATCTTTTGTTAATAAAATCTATTTTATTACACTTGTGTCTTCCTTGCGTTGATGATACAGAAAGAGGTTCTACAAGTTAGAGATCCCACCAATCTTTCTTATGTCATGTACTCATAACCACACCTTAAGTGACACGTGATCCAAATATCATAACATCATTGGTGACGCGAGTATTCATCACTACACTATTTCGCCTCCCTAGGTTGGCGAAAGCAAAATTCACTACACCACAAAATATTAGGTAGTGAAAACTGTCTTCAACATTTATTATAATAAGAATAGTTTCTTGAGCACCAAATAAGCATATTGAAATGATTTAGACTGAGTAATGGCTGCTGAAAATTCATCACAGGAATAAATTGCATTTTACAATATATTAAAATAGAAAACATGTTTTTAAATTGTAATAATATTTTGAAATATTAATGTTTTTACTGTATTTTGATCCAATAAATGCAGCTTTCTGTCACACAGGGATCTTCAAGACACATGCTCAGATTCAGATTCTCTCAGTTCCTCTTTGGGCAGGAAGCAGTTCTCCGGTCCCTCTTTTCAAAGTACATGTGCTACAGGCATGGAGACCCCACCTCGTAAAATCTCTCGTGAGGAACTTCTTCTCCTGGCGCAGGAGGCCCAGGCTATCGCCATGGAGACCTTACCTTCTTCCACATCCTCCCCTTCATCTCCTCTTGACTCCTCCTCCATTCACAAGGGCTCTCCTGACCTTACCCGCTCTTCTGTCCTCCCTGAATCTCAAAGTTTAACCTTTCATCCTGGCACCAAAGCTGTGGCCTATAATGGCATTCTGGAAAAGTCATACAGCATGGGGCAGCTGCCCGCTAGTGGGACGCCTCCAGAGGGACATTACCCCTCCATTAGCTCCCTCGACATAGAAAGCAAATCTATCAAGGAGCCCAAGCAACTCCAACCCACCTCCTCCCAGGACTTTTGCGACAACGGAGAGAAAAAACGCTCCAAGATCAAGAGCTTGTTCAAGAAAAGCAAAAAGCTGTGAGGAACAGTAGAGAAGAAGAAAATATGGCGAGAAAAGAAGCCTTAAAATAAAATAAATGAGGGTCAACCAGAAGCCAAAACATTTTTCAGTTTCATTGTCATTTTTTATTTTTATTATTATTTTTTTTATTTAAATGGAATGTAGCTTCATCTGGGTACAGTTGTAGGTTGGAAGCCTTTTATGGTGATTTTATTAGCCTCACACGTATGCCTTTGAAGGCCAAAAAATGTCATGTTAGCATTTTGCAGAACATGGCCTCTTCACTGTCTTCTGTTAAGTCTCCATTTTCTATAATGTGCACCCTAATGATGTCACCAGAAATGGTTCAGGAAAACAGAATAAAACAGAAACGGAATAAAAAGAACAGTCCAATATTAGCCAAATCTCCAAACTGTGTAAAAAAAAAAAAACTTTCCTGGAAATATGTCTTAAAGGGAGGGTTCAACCACCAGTGAAAATTCTGTCATTTACTTTCCCTCATGCCACTCCTATTCTGTATGCAGTAGTTTTTTATTTATAAAAATTTTTTTAATGGGGCACAACATAATTTTTTGAGGAAATGTTACACAGTTCTTGCAATACAACCAAGGTTCATAGTGACCAAGGGCTGTTAATCTCAGAAAAACACCAAAAAGCAACGTAACATATCAAAATATAGCGACTTGCACCTGCCTCTTTTATTAACTCTGGATCGCTGGAACTGGATCGCTTTATGAGCCGATCCCAAAAATGCTTGATACCAAATGCGCAAGACGGCAAAACTTTGCTATGGTTACCATGGTGTCATGGATTTGAGAGTGAGTTCTGTTCCATACACACACAAAACTGTAATTTAGGGGATGCACTCCCTATTTAAATGCGGTTGTCACTCCTGAAACTTTACAGTGTGTATGTGGCCATTGGCATAATCAAACCATAAGGCATCATATTTTGTCATTATATAAAGACTCGCTGACCAAATGAATAAAAAAAAAGCCCTAAGAAAGCAAGTCCGCTTATCTTGTAGATTACTGTAATTATACTGTAACTAAGTTGTTTTCATCATGGCAGGCTTGACCGAAGTTGCATTTTAATTTAGCATGTAAATTAAAAAAGTTCAGTTCTTTAAAATATGTGTCTTAAATGCATTTTAAGATCCTGTATTATGTTCCTTTTGGCTTCTCCCAACACAGATGTTTAAATTATGTTTTAAACAGTTGAGTGTACATGTCAAACATTGATTATCGTTTTCACAATTGATCATTTCCAAGTACTCGTGCCCATCCCTAAGTCATGATTTGTGTGAGAAACAGGTTGAAATGTAAGTCATTATTCACTGATTGTCTTGCCCTTCTTCAAACCTCAAGTCTACCTTGAGTCACAATTATTCCATGCATATGATTTTTTAAATCAAAATATCAACATTTATCAAAAATCTTTTCCTGGTTATTGGGCGATACTAGCAATTTAATTCCATACTGAAATTGGTTTAATATATATGTAGGCCAATATGTTTGACGTTCAAATCTACATCAAATCAACGTCATCTCGAGTTTTTGACATCAGTTTGATTTGCATATTTGACCTGTGTTTTTGATGTCAATTTGATGTCTTGTCAACATCAATTGCCCAATGCACATTCAAATCTGAACACTGAATTAAGTGTTCCCACATCTCAAAATACAGTCAGCAATCGATGGATAGAATAATTTCTTTACACTCAGATGTACACATCACAGTTTTGAAGAAAAAAAAACTATCTTTCCATTTCATTTCAGCTGTAAAAATGGCACGCTGTTTTTTTTGTTACTACACAGTCGAGATCCAATGCCGTTTTGACAACAATGACAGATCTGCATCTGGACTCAGGCTTAACCATAGCTTAGTTGGAAGTAAACATTATTAGTGAGGAAATTTACATTTCAGTCTGATTGCCACAAAAAAACTGTCATATGGCTTCAGAAGACTTGGAATCTAATGCACGTAAAGTCATTTGGATGGCTTTTATGGTCCTTTTTAAGTTTTTTTTTTTTTTTTTTTTTGGTGCTTAACAGTCCATGGTCACCATGAACTGTGGATGTATGGCAAAACCTATATAATGATTCTTTAAAAAAAAGGCTACTTTGGTGATCCACAGAAAAACTATTAACATTTAGGTTTGGAATGACCTGAGGGTGAGTAAACAATGACATTTTTTTTATCTCCACATTTGAAATCATAAGAGTTTGAATGACCGCTGGTTGTTGTTTGATATATCTCAGCCTTTGACATCATCACAAGCTTAGTTTTTAATATTTAGTTTCCCTGTAGTATGAAAATCATAAGAAATCCTTTCCCTTCAACTTAAGGGCCCAGGGTGAAAACTGGGCTTTCAGTTTTGTCACTTCTGTTTACTGCCACAGAGCTCCTGTACTTGAAAATATTTTTTAAGACAAAAAGGGAAAGAAAAAACAAAAAGAGTAACACTTGACATAAAACAGCATGTCAGAACGCCTACATAAGTGAAATAATGAACACAATGTAATGGTTCAGTAAATTAATTAAAGATTACTCTTTTCAGTCTTAAAATGTGCAAAATACTACCTTACGCACTATATTTAAATTATCATTACACGTTTTATTTTTGATTTAAAACACCATTTTACAGTACTAGAATTATACCAGCATATTGTTTTGGCACATTTGTTAAAAAAAGGTAAAGAAAAAAAATGAAGAAAGAAATTAAACCCAAGCGGTGTAAAATTCACAGCGGACCTTTTGAAGTGTTTTGAAGACATGTTCAGACATAACTAACTGCTCTGTGGAAAGCGCTACTGAATTATCCTGCTAAAGGTTGTTGCACTACTGCTTTCCATACCTGGAAAGTGTCGCTTTTGGCAGCATAAGAGTAAGTTATGTTAGTTAGATCAAGGAGAATATGTGTAAAGATGTGTTAAAAAGCAGAAAATTGACATCAATCATTTTGATTAGAACGCCTCTTGCCACATTTATTCTCTGAAATCATTTTATTTTATTTTTTTCATCATGAATATGTTTATTAGAAGTTATTAAACTGTAGTAATGTGATTTCTTTTGGGTAGCTGAAGAAAGATTTTTTTCTTTCTTTTTTTTTCTGAGGAGAAATGTATATGATATGCAGATTTTGACCCATAATTCCTCTTTCTTGAACTGAGTGCCCTGTTTCAAGGGCGTTACCATCACTGTGATCATTATACCTCTCTCCACTCATACAAATCATCCACTATGGAGCACTAAACTGATTCTGTTTTGGCCAAAATTATTGCAACTTTTTTGAATTGCAAGTCAGCGCAACAGTGGTGCCGAAATTTGTCTCAGAACTCACTCACTCAGCATTGTATATGCTGATACATATGAAGGATAAACCATGTTTCATGTATATACACATGAGTGTTTATGTGTGTATATATATTTATACAGTGACTGACATGAACACATGAATGTTGAGATGATTGAGCTGAGCTGTTTTTTTTGTGTGTGTGGGAATATTTGTATACAGTAGAACAAATTAATAAAACATTGAGGCAGAAGTCTCATCTGTGCAATCACTTCAAAACGGTTTGTGACTCATTAGGGATGCATTTATCTGCATTAGGTGTGCCTCACATGTGCTGAAAAGTGAAGCCAAAACATTTTGAGCGCCATTTGGTGGCTGGCTGCAGTATAGGTCATAAACCCCACCCTCTCCATGTAAATGAATGGGCGTGCCGAAAGGAGGTGTTCCGAAAGGTGAATCAGTACAACAGAAACTACCCCTAACCCAACCCCCACACCCAGACAAACAGCTTTGTCGACCAATCATGAAGACCTTTCTCCATGCCCCTACATTTCGGCATGCCCTAAACTTTTGCCACGCTCATTACTCCAGCCTGCAGTTATCCCTACTTGGAATGAATGGCACCTGAACCAAACTAAATTGTCAAATAAATAAACTAGAAACCAAATTTTTTAAAGACAAATAAAAGCTTTAAAAAAACCACAAGGGGTATTAGTGATGTATTTTATGTTGTAGAATAACCACAGACCATATTTCAGGCATTTAACCAAAATCCATTTTAAAAGCCCATTGACTTATGAACGATGGAATCAGAAGTGCTAAAATTCTAACCGATTTAGCCCATACAAATGTCATCGCTGCAGTGCTCTATAGGGAGCACTGGATTTTTCCTGGTGGCCAGTCAACTTATGGGCTATTGAAACCAAATGTATACCTTATGTAAACAGATTTACATTTCTGCCACCATCAGCCCGGGACATTTAAATTGTGGGTTGTGGCGTATGCACAAGAATTAGTCTCTGTTCTGTACAGCATGTCTGGTTTCAGTCACTGTAGCTGTCAGGCGCACATTCAGCTGAAGTTATCACAAATTCATGACAGTTTTATGGGAAGTTTAGCCGAGCCATCTAATTGAAAGCTACCTAAAGATTTTTGTCTTTTTTTTTATTTACACACTTTCTATGCTATATTTCCCTCTCTGCCACTGGCTGCCCTCACCACTTCTGCTGTTTTCAAACTGCTTATAAGTCTTCTCACTTGCTGGAAGCCAAACACTTGGGGATGGAAGTTTTATATATATATAAAAAGCACAGATCAATTTAATCAAGTCAGTAAATTCATAAAATAAACAATCAAATGAGCCCCAAACTTGATTTTATTGAAAACTGAAAAGTAATCATCTGGGATTTAAATCTAGGTCCTGTAACTTTATTTTGAGGATCTTACCTTTCAAGCACCTGATTGGGTTAGACCAGGGGTGCCCAAACTCGGTCCTGGAGGGTCCTGCGTTTCGATCCAACCCCAATTAGACACACCTACACCAGCTAATCAAGCTCTTACTAGGCATACTAGAACCCTCCAGGCAGGTGTGTTGAGGCAGGTTGGAGCTAAACTCTGCAGGACATCGGCCCCTCCAGGACCGAGTTTGGGCACCTCTGGGTTAGACTTTTTTATTGTATAATTTAATTGTGCTGTATTTCCAATGTACAGATATTTTAGATATATGAAAGTATAGTGAAAATCATTGTATTAACTAGACTGTACAGCACTGACATTTATATGCTTCGAAACATATAGTGGGAAATCATGTTGGTTTGTGATGGACATAAACTCTCAGTCCATCTCTGTTTGCAAGAGTTGCAACTCAATGTTATCATCACCCTGATTCCCTTGACAAAAAGCCAATAGGATTTTTCTATTGGAAATTCTATTGGATTATTGCCGAAATTAAGCTCTATGACCAACAAAACATGATTCGTTCATCTTTGAACATTGTTTTTATGAATTTTGGTGCCTATATACTATTGCCAGACATGAAAAGCTATCATTAAGCTATAAATGAACTACACCACAGTTGCATACGTTCAACATCACCACCACTAAGCTTCTGACCACTCAGACGGACAGTTTGAGTTAGTGTAGTTTACAAGATTGCAAGTATAAACAAAACAAGGGTATAAAATCCAATGTTGGATGACAAAATAACCTTATATAATTCATACACGGTTCAGTACGTAGTGCATAGAATAAATGCATAGTGTATATAGTGTGTCATTTGGGACACAACTCTTATTTCAGCTGTTTAACAAAAAACCCATTCTAAAACTCCACTGACTTAAGGACAATGGAACCCGTTGTTCAAACGTGCTAATTTATTTCCATGTTTAGGACTTCACTTTTTTGGAAAAACAGTGACAATGTATAAGATGGTAGAATCTGTATTGAAAAAAAGAAATGTGGAGAATACTATTTTTGTCCTCTTTTTCTCAGTTTCTCTCTCTCTCTCTCTCTCTCTCTCTCTCTCTCTCTCTCTCTGTCTCTTAGGCAGGTTGAAGTATACATTAGAGCAATAGAAGAAAACGCAAAAATGTGTTTGTGTGACACCCCATTTATCTTATAAGTGGGCACTGGTGACTGGAGGAGAAACATGCATGATTGAAGATTTACTAATATTATTACTGAAGCATAGTATTTTACTTTTTACTCCACTACTGTCACAAATTGTCAGTCATGTTTCATTTAGTTTCATTTTCATAGACTTGATTGTGTCAGTTTATAGGTGTTCATCTTTAATTAACCTTATTTGCTATTTGCTTCTACCTTTGTCTTCGTGTGATTACCACAACCAGTTGTGACAGCTACAGTTAAAAAAATATATTTTTTTTTTCAAATCAATCGTGTGTGCTGTTTGTATGACATGCTTGAATGTGAATGTGCACATTTGCAGGTCACGTCTGTGTCTTGCTTATTTGTAAATCAGTATACATTCAATGTCATCATCATATCTCGTACTGTAAGATGATGTATACACAATGGCAAAATAAATGCTAACTCTTTACCAGTTGTGAACAGTAACAATGTATTTTTTGTTACTGTAATTAAATGTTTGATAAGACTATTTTTTTAGTTTGGGAAAGATTTACTAATATTATTACTGAAGCATAGTATTCTACTTTTTACTCCACTACTGTCACAAATTGTCAGTCATGTTTCATTTAGTTTCATTTTCATAGACTTGATTGTGTCAGTTTATAGGTGTTCATCTTTAATTAACCTTATTTGCTATTTGCTTCTACCTTTGTCTTCGTGTGATTACCACAACCAGTTGTGACAGCTACAGTTAAAAAAAAAAATATTTTTTTCAAATCAATCGTGTGTGCTGTTTGTATGACATGCTTGAATGTGAATGTGCACATTTGCAGGTCACGTCTGTGTCTTGCTTATTTGTAAATCAGTATACATTCAATGTCATCATCATATCTCGTACTGTAAGATGATGTATACACAATGGCAAAATAAATGCTAACTCTTTAAGATTACTTACAACAGAACAGCAATGCATTTTATGGACGACCGTTTCGTGAACCTAGGAGAGGAGGTAATTCTGACTTTGCTATGACAATCGCGCTACAGAATCAGCTACTGTTTTGTTATTAGTTTAAGTATTTGCTATTGATAGTTCAAATGCGGAGTTTTGCGCGTTGTGTGTGTGTGTGTGTGTGTGTGTGTGCGTGCGAGCGAGCGAGATGGAGAGAGAGAGAGAGAGAGAGAGAGAGGGGGGTCACATCCCAGTAGAGTCAGCTGTCTAAACCGTGGCTTGTGTACTGCAGACACATACCAGCATCATCACTGTGTATGTCACGCGACTCTGTTCCCCTTTCAGGCTTGAACTGATGGGAAAACTAATGACATTATTTACTGTCTTTACATTTATTTTGAAAGATGAAGCTTGCGATTATGGTAAGGGGCGTTACATTTCCGACGAGTGCTTGCGGTGTTCGGCCAATCACAATGCACTGGGTCAGCTGGCCAAACAGAGCAGACTGCGCTTGTCGGAAGGAGGGACTTTGTAGAAAACAAAGTGTTTGAGAGAGGCGGGGCATAGAATTCCTACAATAATGTACAGTATTTGAAAAATAATGTGTTTTTTGAACATTAAAGCATGTCAACATATTCTGTTACACCAAATACACAAAATAATGATCTTTAAAAGCTTTAAGCACTATTTTATTAAGGTATCTGTACTTTTACTCAAGATTTGTGTACTTCATCCACCACTGAATTAAAACAACAAGCATATAGTGCTTCTGCAGCTTTCAGAAACTTTTAGGCTACTCTGTAAATACTGTAGGTTTCTCACACAGTCACCGGCTCATTCTTCTGCATGTTACGCACACTTTCTTTCTGCTTCTTT